CACGCAGCTCGCCGAGTGGACCTGGGAAAGGAAGAAACAAAAGCCAACCTTTTTCCAAAGTTAACTATTTTAGAATATTTTCTTCCTTTACAGAACCAAGCCAAAGCCTAATATGATCAAGTTACCACTGATCAGTAGCCCAAAGCTCCATGCACAGAATCATGTGATCAGCAATCCCCTGCTTAACCCACTACTGAATGGATTCCTGAAGCTCCTTGGTACCTCAGCACAGAGTCAACTCATCCTTATGCTCCCACAGCTTCTGTTTATAGTAAAGATGTCAGAGTTAAAGTCACTAGATCTACAGAGTTGTAAGCGGCCTTCTGCCAAGGCGTTGGGTTCAAGGAGATAGAAGACGTCATGAATAAGTAAGCAGATATGCTACAGTAGGGGTAGCTGTTGACCAGCTCCATGAATGTTTTAACAAATTTGTTGCAATGGGGAAGTTGTTTTTAGGTCAGAATGTTAGTTAGTAAGGGTGACATTGCCTCCAGTCATGTTTATGAGCATAATAGGAAAAACAAGGAAAAAGGGGACATCAAAAACAGCTGATCAGTCATGTGATTAAAAGTTCATCTGAGCTGATTCTGTCAGGCTCAGAACAGTAAGATGCATTATTTAAAGTGGACAAAAAGTTAGATTTCTCAAACTGTTAATTGAAAACTGGACCAAAGTGAGTCAGTGTCTAAGGTAGGAATCTCTGCAGGAGCAGACCACAAGTTAGTGACCACGTTCTGGTGGTGCCAACGTGGCGCAGCGGTCACTGCACAGTGAGTCCCAGACGCTGATGTATTTGTGGTCGGAGGACAGGCAGGTTAACAGCCTTGGTTTCGCACCTTAAAGCAGAAAACCAGGTTGACGGAACCTTCAAATCTTTTTCCTGGATGGTGGACATGTAGTGGCTGAAAACCAAAAACAACAAAAACGGAGAAAGCCCAGTGGTGCTAGAATGCGAGAAAACCTCTTGGGCAAGAATCTCTCCCATCTCCTTTGTGGACGTGAGTTTGGGCAGCGGAACCAGATTGCCCATATTAGTAAACCTGTCGATGATTGTCAGAATAACAGTGTTACATTCAAAGCTGGGTAAATCACATCCATAGCAATATTAGACCCGGGTCAGAACGGAATGGGTATTGGTCATAATAAGCTAGAAGGGGGTCTTCTGGATATTTTGGCCTGGTTGCAATGGGGACAAGCTGCCACAAACTCTGGTACATCTGAAGACAGAGAAGGCCACCACTATTGTGTTCGAATAACACCGATAGTTCTATTTATACTAGGCTGACCAAACGGGACCCATGGTAGAACTCTAATACACTCATTTCAGAAAGTAAAGAACAAATAATTTTTAGGCCAGGCTTCCAGGGGCTGGTGGTTACAGAGAGCCCGCCTACCTTCCTTCTCTAAGTCAACAATAGTGGTGGCACACCTCACAACCTCAGGTAAAACATACTCCTCGGGACCACTAGAACTCTCCTTGCCTACCTCAAACACCCAGGACAGTGCATCCAGTTTTACCTTCTTAGTCCCGGGCCTGTAAGATAGAGAGAAATTAAAGCTTCCAAGAAAGAGTGCCCACTTCGTCTGTATTGAGTTAAGTCTCTTAGCAGACTGCTCTGGATGAGCAGAGCGTAAACACGAACAGTGATGGGAGTAACAGCGTTGAAAGTAACAGCGTTACCTTTTTTTTAGTAACGAGTAATCTAACTAATTACTAATGACTGTAACTATAACGCAGTTACCATTGCCGACACCCTGTTACTGCACGTTACTCAGGTCGCACAATGAACTTTTTTTTCATGATAGGACTCATCTGTGCCTTGTCAGGAGAGAGGGGAGGATGAGATTGGCTGATGTATAGTGGGATTACATCTGTCAGTTGGGTAGGTGGATGTTTCCGCTGGCGGGTGTTATCGTACAGCACACATAGAGAGATGGAGAGTGAAGAAAACAGCGTTTTCCAGATGGAAATACCGGTGTTATGTCGAGCTGTGTTTGCCCATCAGATACGGTTTCCCCTGCATCTCCGCACCGCGCAGGCGGCACGATTCACCGTGCAAGTGACAGGAAACGAGTATGCTCGCTGAAGGCAAGTAACAGCCGCCTAGTGCTCGCACCACAGGAGAACTACGGAGAGCGTGAATGGATGGATGGATGGATGGATGGATGGATGGATGGATGGATGGATGGATGGATGGATGGATGGATGGATGGATGGATGGATGGATTTTAACAGACATCCCCAGTTATTAATTTCATACACTCACCAGATCTGAATGCCCTGTTAAAAAACTTCACACCCATGAGTAGAGGTAATGCAGTCTGATGATATTTACACCGCATCAGATACCGTTCCCCCCATGTTAAGAAGAGGAAAACGCTACTTGACGGGGTTTATAGGCCCGCCAGATAGCGTTCCCCCCGATGTCATTTACATTGAGTTGCAATAAATGCAAAACTCTCTGCAGGTACTTGTCTTTGTCGTCCACTCTATTCAGCTGCCTTTTGAAACACACGGCAAGAAGGTGGGGGCTGGGTGGTGAGGGTTACGGAGGGGAGAAACACAAAAGTAACGGAATAGTTACTTTTACTAGTAACTGGTTACTTTTATTGTGCAGTAACTAAATAAGTAACTCAATATTTTTTGGGAGAATTAACTAGTAACTATAACCAATTACTTTTTCAAAGTAACGTGCCCAACACTGAACACGAAACAGAGCTGTGTTACCCAACCTAACACCTTCCAGTCAATCTGATGGTTGTGTTTATGTAAACAGGTGAAACCTAGAAAAATAGGGACCTGAGGTGAATCAATTATCATAAAAGATAAATTTTCACTGTGGTTACCTCACTCCACAAGCTCAAGAGGTTCTGAAATGACAGAAGAATGATTAATCTGATGGCCATCTAATGCTATTACGTTTGTGGGAAGCCAGCGATGGCAGGAGCTTTATCCCCAGTAATCTAGCAAGCCATTAATCCATGAATTCAGTATCTGCACTTGAATCCACAAATGAAGACAGGTAGTGACTTCTGGAGTTGACCAACATAGTCACTGGAAGAAGGAGATCTGGGGAGATAGAGACTCTGGTGTGACAGCAGAGTTCTCCCCTCCTCTACCAAGCCTGTCCCTTTTACCGGACAAGATCTCAAGATGTCCCACCTTGCTGCAGTACAGCCACAGGTTCAGGGGATGACATTGGATCTTCTCCTCCTGGGACAAGTGTGCATCCCAGCTGCATTTATTCGGGATCTGTTGTTTGGGCTGGATCAAGAACAGCCACAGGTGCAGGGGCAGCAGAGGAAGAACGTTTTATTGAACACAGAATTGGTTGGACTGTTGGGAGCTGGAGAAGTTCCACCTTTCTCCAGCAGAGTCCGCCGTGGATCCTTCTGAGGGAGCCTCCTGCACAGCTGCAGCCCATCAAGATCATCAGAGGATCCACTATATAAGCTGTCTTCAGACCTTGCCTCAACGCCGCAGTGTTGATCCAGTTGGTCAGCGCCTAAGCCTAGACTCTCTGTGTATCTTGTGACTTTGAATCCAACCAGGATTCTAACCGTTGTCTCTGTCTTCCAGGAAACCAGTGTCTCCTCTGTGAAGCTCTGGAAGAGCTAACCTGCCGAGCCGACCCTCTGAGCCAAACCCGAAGAACCATAGAGAACTTCCATGCAGCTCAGGACTAAGAGCTGGAAAACCCAACGCCAAGGTCTGTTCTTTAGTAGACGTGAGACGCTGAAGCAGCAAGCGGACTCTGCTGATCAACTCCTCTCCAGATCCAACAGTGACTCCCCCAAAGCTAACCTCAAGAACCCTCAAGGTACAATCAGTTATCATCGAGAAAACACGCTCCAACGTGCAACGCTAACTGAACTGTCTCTCACGCAGACTCCGGTGAACCAGTGTCCAGGTCCGAGCCTGAATCAGTACATTCTGTGTGCTTGTGTCAAAATAAACTTGTTGAACTTTTATTCCTGTGTCCGTCAGTGGTGTTCTGCATAATTGGGTCACTTTTAGAGTACCCATCATGACATGGACGACATTGGTGTGTAAGGCAATAAGCTCTGTGGGTGGAGACAGCAGGTTAGTGACCAAGTCTTTGTGGAAGTGGAATACCACTAACAAGTGAGTCACTAACCACAGGTAGTGGATTGTTCCAGGCAGCTGGCTACCAACGTGGCACGGTTGTCACTGCAAAGCGAGTCTGATGTATTGGAGGTTAGTTAGGAAATCAGAACCAAGCAGATGGATGTAGGCAGAGAGCAAAACCAAAGCAAATGTTGAAGACGTGGTAGGTTGTCAGAGCAAAAAGGTCAGAGAGGCACCGAAGAAGAATCCAGGACGGAGTCAGGTAACAGTTCTTGGTTCTGTTCATGGTGGGGCTGACAGGCTGGACCAGGGCAAGCAGACTCAGTGGTCTGGAAACGGTTCAAGTCCGTACACAAGCAGGCAGAGATCAGGCAGGAGTCAGAAAACAGGTCAGGCAAACAGGTAAGACGGGAACAGGCAAGTTCACATCTAAATTTTTTTATTTAAATAAATGTTTAAAAATAAGTGAATCACCATGTTTGCCTCATCAGTATTTTATATCCATACAGGCTGCCTGTGTGATTAGTAATACCAACAAACCGCTCCTGATTAAGTTATGTTTATTTTAATAGTGGCCACACTAACTGTTACGAATCAGCTGTTCAAAGAGACAGCTTACAAAATTAACTGCTGACTTGCTAAGTGAGAGAATAGGTGTCAATCTCAATTCTCCAGGGACCACTACATTTCTGGCTAAAGCAGTTATATTTAGAGGGGTGCCAATGATCTTTTCTTTAATCAATCTAGGGAGAATGGATTTTCCACAGAGCTATGGCTCTGAGTGAGTTTCGCAAGCATATTGTAAAGAAACCTATGATTATTCTTATTCTCCTCTATTACCACAGAGAAATATGCTGGTCTAAAAGTCTTAAAGTAATCTTTTAGGTTCCTAAAAGGTTGTTAGAAAAGACAGGGTTGTGAGGAGATACTGTTATTTTTTCACAGTCAATGCCATCTGTCAGCACAAGGTCAAAGTATGAAGATAAGAACATTTGGGATTATTTTGAATAAAGCCAACTAAGTCTAAGCATTTAAGGCTGCATTTATTTTATCATCCTCAAGGTCAGGATGAATGTTAAAGTCTCCCACTATAATAAACTTTTGAGTATTTAACACTACATCAAATAGGAACTGAAAACTGACCTAAACATTCAGAGCAAAGATCTGGTGGACAATACAGAGTTACAAACAAAAGAGGTTTTGTTGCTTTATAGTTTTGATGGAGGAAAATTAAAGGTAAATGTTAAACAGAATTGTAATTGTTAATTGGCTTTGGGGAATGCACAGTGGCATATTGGGTAGCACTGATGCCTTGCAGCAAGAATGTTCGATGGCCGGCCTGGGGTCTTTCTGCATGGAGTTTGCATGTTTTCCCTGAGCATGCATGTGTTCTCCCCGGGTACTCCGGCTTCCTCCCACAGTCCAAAAGCATCACTGTTAGGTTAATTGGCTTCTCTAAATTCTCCCTAGGTTTGAGTGTGTGCGTGAATGGTTGTTTGTCCTGTTTGTCTCTGTGTTGCCCTGCAATGGACAAGTGACCTCTCCAGGGTGTACTCCGCCTCTCCTTGACAGCTGGAGAGGCACCAGCATCCCTCACAACCAACTCAGGATAAAAGTGTGACTGAAACTGGATGGATGGAATTGGCTTTGGGCTAATCGAAAAATGCTTGGATGACCCCTTTTTACACAGGGTGTTTTTCTACTGTTTGTGAAAGAGTTGGGCGTAGTATGTCTTCAACTTTACAAGCTCTTGGCTGCTGTTCTTTGCCAAAAATGGTCTCTGACCATCCAACAGAACTTACAGTAATCATCGGTCTTCATGATGCTTGGGGGCTATCTTCAAGAATATTTTTACCAATCCACCCTTCTTCCCTTGTTTTATTTCACAGCCCCTTCATCAGCCTCCACTACATCCAGACTTAAAGAGCCTTCTTACAAAATTACACACAATTGCTTTCTGAAGAGATGTGTCCGGCCTCTTGGCTACCTTCCAGTGTTTTGTTATTATTCATAGTTAAACAAGAATATAATTTAGTCAAACTTGTAAAGTTGTCAATTTCATCAGAAACAAGTCAATACAATGATGCCTGTATTTGTATTTTCATTATATGAGTTTTGTGTGATAAACTATAAATAAAGTACATAAGAGGTAAATTATTGTGGATTATTGATGTTAAAATGAACACAGCACCTGCTCATCTTTATCCTTTATCACCACCAGATCTGCTCCTCTTGATAGGCAATCCTGTCTTCCTTCATCCCAGGAACCCGTAACAGTAGAGCGGAAGTAACAGGAGCAGCTGAAATTTGTCCATCCTGTAGGACATGTTTTCCCTAAAATATATATATATATATATATATATTTTACATTTTAAGTCATTGTTGCTCTTTTTTTGTAAGAAAATAATGGAATATTTAATACAGTTAGATAACATTTTATACAAACTGTATTCATCTATTTACAAAGGGGGCTATGTTCATATTTTGTTCTGTCTTCGGATGCTTCTATCCAAAACTTTGGAGGAAATAGGCACAAAGATTGCTCTAGGATTATTAAACCTGGGGTTGCAGCACAACTTTTTTTTTTTTTAACATCTTTACATTTTCCTTTCAAAAAAAAAAAAAAAACCAAGACACAGGAACTTAAGCTGACCTGCAACTCTAAATATCTATTCATGGATCTTTTTCAGTATTTGTTGCCTTTTTTAACAAACCTCGAGGCCTGTTCAGCTTTTTCATCATTTCAGTGAGGTTAGCATGAAGCAGGTTTCGTTCTTCAGTCATGGAGTAAAGCTTGCTGTTGCTTTCCTGGAGACGGTCAGTAAGATTGTCATTGATGTTAGAGAGATCAGCTGCCACGTCCCAAGCTGAAATAAATCATTTACATGTTTTAAAAAATAAAATAAAAATGATTTTAATAATGTCACTAACTCAGGTCATCATGTCTCAGAATTTAAAATTATTTCTCAATGAAAGTAGAATATATAAATATTTTAAATGTTGAGGACATTAATATGATTTTGACATAAATAGTATGAAAGCTCCTCAAATTGTGATCAAAGAGGTATTGCTTCTATAATCTAAAACATGCCAGACAGGCTTAGACTGAACATCAGTCAAATCATGCAACATACAGCATATTTAACTATCAGCCACAAAGATATGTTTATTTATATCATGCAACCTGTGGCTCTTTGGGTTGTCTACAGTGGCTCTGTAGTGGCTGAAAATGAGCAAACTAGTCTCTTTAAATTGTAAATTAACCAATACCATACTTTAGAAGTTTAACAGGTTTTTAAAGAACATTTGAATAATTTTCTTATAATTACATAAATTCATAAAAAGATCTACATTATGCTTTTAGATCTATATTTTTTGTCATTTTTCATTAGCTTGGAAACCATGTTTTATGTTTTGCATAAAACATGGAGACGGTCAGTAAGATTGTCATTGATGTTAGAGACATCTGCTGCTAAGTCCCAAGCTGAAATAAATCAATAAATTTATTGATTTATTTGACGAATAGATGTTAAAGATAAAACATCTTAATATTTTAGAATTTAAAATTATTTCACACTGAAAAGAGAATGTATATATACTGTGAATAGTGAGGACATTATTTTAATTAAAATGGTAGGAAAGTACAGTTTGCTTCAAAATAAGGAAGATTTGTTTCTGTAATCTAAAAAAATACCAAACAGGCTTAGAGTGAACATCATACTTAATGACCAAATTCTTCAAGGTACTGCAAACCTTTGAATCACCAAGATTTGTTCTTTTATACCCAGTCAGGCTTTTTGCCATTTATCTTACAGTAAAGGGGCTTTACTCTGTTCATATTTAAGCCGACTAGAAAAAGACTCACAGTGGAGACCAAGGACGATGAGTCCAACCAGCAGTAAAACACTCAGGATTCCCAGAAATATTATAACAATCAGGAAGGGCTTCTTCTTGTAGCTGCTTGAACCTGAACAAACAAAATGAATATTATCTGAATGCATTATGTTGTAAAACAATCATAACATACATCATACATTTCTCTGTCCAATCATTCTTACCTTCGGTCTGAGACGTAGGAATTTGGCAAACAGGTTTCCCATCTTCCACATTGACATAAATTTCCTCCATCGCTTAACACTATTAATTGGCTGGCTCTTTCGATTGCTAAAATCAACATCTGCTGTGGTATTTATTCTCACCGAATGCTATGAGACAGCCTTTTCTTGTGCGTAAAACAGGAAGCAACATATATTAAACATGAGACTGAACAAAAAAACTGTCTGTAGTTACTTTTAACTTGTTTTTCTTCTGTTTTTATTTTGTTTGTTTCATATACATATATTACTAGCATTTTTTTCAGTGCTTACAAACAAAACCTGGAAAGTCTTATCTACAATTTATCTTCAGCTTCCTGAAAATTTTTTCTTATGCAAGATGCTCCTTTTGTGAAAATTGTAAGACACTGTAAGCCTCTTCTTACATTACAAAACAATCTTTTTTTTCTAAATGTTTTTCTACTCACAGATTTACAACAAAAAGATACCACATACGTAACGTTGTGTTTTGGTGTTATATGTATTTTTGCAGGCCAATTTAACTTGGTTCTACCACAGTTGTTGATTCATTGGTTTGGCTCATTTCTTGGAACAGAAATTACGTTCTAAAAATACCATGGACAAACCTCCAAACCTCTTATCAATAGTTCAAAACATAATTGTACTGAACTGCATTGAATGGAGAAAGAATTTAGAAATAAATAAATGTGGAAATGCATTCATCATGTTTACATATACAACCAGGAAAGAAATACAGAAATAAATAAATAAAAATAGAAGAAAAAAACAAAGAATGAATCTCCTCCAAGAAAAAAACACTCACTTATTTCTTCATTTATTAATACTTTTTTTATATGTACGTATTCATTTCGATATTATTTTATCTATTCCTTTATATAATCGTATGTGTATCTCCTTATTTACATGTCTATTCGTTCTTATTTTAGATATCTTCAATAAACAATAACTGGAATGAAACCTTGAACAAGTAGTAGTATATCTGTTTACTATTCTTTGTGGTTCAGCCAAAATTGACATTCTCATGCTGACCAGAGTGGCTGCAGCTTCACCTTATATGGTAATGCTTTAGGCTGTGTCATGATGTTACAAAGTTCAGACCCAAATGCAAAATAACCGAACAGAGAGACCAGGGAAAAGGTTTTATTGAAGAAGTTAAACAGAGGGAGAAGTGTTGCTCTGAACACTGCTCAACCCGAACTGTAAAGTGAGGGGAAGAAACAGCGGTTAGTTGAGGCTCAGTGGGGAATTTGACTCATGAACTTGGAGAAGAGGTTTTGATTGCCGACTCACGTTTCCAGAGAAGTTGTATCCTTGACTCCTGTATGTGTTCCGTGGTTCCAGTGTTTGTCTGATTCGGTGGAGGGTGGAACAGGGTTACCCAGAATGTGGTTGTATGTTGGTGAACGGAGAAACTGACTGCCATTCAGATTCTCTGCGGTACTTGAACGGGTCTTAGTGGAGAATAATCCCTTTCTCAGTGAGAAGCTCAAACGATCTCTTGGGGAAAGTGGATCCAAACCTCCTGTTTGAACCCCAGCTTAGTTGAAGCTCAGTTGATCCGTCCAGGGAGAGAAGGTCCGAGAAAACCAGTTTGCAGGATGACTTCCTGCTGAGAGGCAAAGACAAAAAAAGAAAGTTAAACTCAGGTTGACAAAAAACTCAGTTTGACTCAGCAGAACTCAGCTTGGCTAGAGTACCCAAAACTGGCAAACACTCTGGCGTCGAGGTAGTGGCAGTCAGCAGCTTAAGAACACTACATTTAATGAGGAAACCATCAGCAGGTGTGTGAGGAGGCGGATCAGAACCAGGCACCTCCTGGTGGAGGAAGGGAGACAAACACAGAAACACAAACACAAAGATGTTTTGGTCGTACACTTCTTGGCTGACCTTCAGTGGGTTTTCCCCTGAATTAGTCGAGACGTAAGAGTCTAATACAAAGTGAGACCTTCCTCTGTAAATTGTGCTTGTATCAATGATGTTGTTCAACGTTACTGGAATAAATATGTTAATGCTTAAATATGTTTACTCCTTTGTGTACACTATCTGAAAAACAATACGTCCACGGATCTGGACCGGGTAATAAAAGGGTGAAATAACAGCCAGATAATTTCCATACAGATTTAATAACATGGAAATTAACCTCAGGGATATTGTCACAGTTTGACAGCTCAGCTTTACAGCTTTTCTAAATTAGCACTTTGAGGTGAATGGTACAACATTTGATTTTTTTACGGTTTGTAAGCATGATTGCTATACTTTTTCTAAACTAACCTCTATTTAGTTAAAGAAATGTGCAAGAAAAAAAACCTGAGCTGATTAATTTAACAAAAGATACATTTTTAGTTGATGTATCATAATTTAGACAAAATATATGTATATAAAAATATAGAGGACATGACCCTTGTGTCCTCAGTGGTAGTTATGGCCCTGGCCCCTGGTCAGTTATGGCTGATGGCAGTTCAAACCTGGTTCTGCACAATGCTAGCAATATTTCACTGTTTCTACATGCTTATGCAGAGGGAGTTAATTCTGCAAGGGCAATCACTCAATGTCATGTGCTGTGAGTCTTTTAGGACAACAGGTTGGACTAGAGATGAGACACGGAAACTGTCTACAGGATGGGGAGTAGCATCCTGTACTTCTCAAGAAGCTTAAGTCCTTAAAGGAAAATTCCGGTTTTTAACACTTTTAGCCCATTTTCTGTAGTGTCCAGGATGAAATAGAATGATCGACACCAAAATTTTGGACAATTGGTCCTGTCTCTGCTTTTTGGCTCATGCAGAATCCCCCCCTGGCTGCTTCAGAATGGCTTCCATAGTGCATGTCCGATAATGTCCTTAAAACAACCTTAAACGTTCTTTTTTTAAAATATGCTACTCACCGGGTCGCCAGCGCTGTTCAATGACGTTCCAAAAAAAGTTTCGTAAAGAAAAAACGTTCCTGTAGTGTTTTATTTAGCATTTTGTAAATCCCATTGAGTTCTGTTGGAATAGTCAATATCCCTCCGCCACCGGAAACGGAAATGAGGCCTGTTTACGCTTAGTTGTAGTCTTTTCGCAAGGCCAAAGTGTTTCGCTTCACTCTGTGTACTCCGACGTCGCAGTGCTAACGTCTCTGTTAAACACTTTAAAAAACTCTGAAAATGGAATACGAAAGGTGGATTCTTGAGGAGGACATATTGGACTTTGAGTTTGACGGTAGAGGATACCGTCGCCAACTAGTGGTCTGGAGTGTGCAACGCTTCAGATTCGAACGGGAAGCGGAAGTTTATAAGCGGTTGTGATGTATCGGAAAAAATAGTTCTGGGATTTACAAAATGCTAAATAAAACAAGACAGGAACGGTTTTTCTTCACAAAACTTTTTTTGGAACGTCATTGAACAGCGCTGACGACCCGGTGAGTAGCATATTTAAAAAAAAGAATGTTTAAGGTTGTTTTAAGGACATTATCGGACATGCACTATGGAAGCCATTTTGAAGCAGCCAGGGGGGGATTCTGCATGAGCCAAATAGCAGAGACAGGACCAATCGTCAAAATTTTGGTGTCGATCATTCGATTTCATCCTGGACACTACAGAAAATGGGCTAAAAGTGTTAAAAACCGGAATTTTCCTTTAAGGTCTATTAGTCTGCAATGGAAAGTGAAATCTCTTCTGCCAATGTCTGTTGGGATAGCAGCATCAAAGCTAGAGTAGTGACTCAAAAAAAAACCAACAAGCTAAGAAAAAGGCTGACACTGCCCTGAGGACTCCCAGTTAACAACCAGGCTATAGACAAATGTTAGAACCACCCACCTTATTAACATATGGAGACAGAAATGTAGAAATAAATAAACACAAGTAGAAATACAAAAATACATCTGGGAATAAATAAATAAGAGTAAAAATAAAATGGACATATAAATAAATAAATGTAAAAATAAATAAATGAATACACAAAATACAAAAAATGCACAAATACATACAAAAAACTACAGAAATACAAGAAAAAAATATTTTCCTGACAAAAAATATGTATTTATTTATTCATTTATTTTTATATTCATTTACCTATTAATTTATGCAATTACGTATGTGTATTTATGTATATGCGTCTTGTGATTTTGTGTTCAGTGCCCATCCAGGTAGGATGTCACATTAAGGTTGAGATTTTTATAATCTATTCTTTTCCCAGCCAGCTGGGAGTTTATATTTCTGATACTTTAAGATGTTTCTGTCTGACCTGTACAATTAAGGTATCTCTATAATAGTGCCTGTCTGGCAACATGAAGTAGAATAGAAGAGAAAATCCCTTTATTGTCCTACAATGGGGACATTTTGGACTGAAACCTTATCTCAATTAATCCACTTACAGGTAAGGAACAACTAAAATCATTTGAACAATTTTGAAAAATTTTAAACATAATTTGATAACACCTTGAAATCAGTGAAGGCGCTTTCATAAGTAAACATCCAGTAGTAATTGGGAAAACAATGGACAGTGGGAAGCTGTGTCAACGCTTCAGATAAGAAAATAAATTATTTACATGCAATTTGCAATTACTTAGGTTTCCATTCTCCTAAACTAATCTTCTTTCGGCTAAAATGCTAGCCTGACGTAGTCCGACTCAATTCTAGTCAGAATATGAGTCTGATACTGCTCCATA